GGAGGCTTCTTGGGGCCCTCCGGGGGCCTCTTCGGAGCCTCTTGGGGGCACACTGGAAGTGTTGGGGCAATCTCGTGGGGCCCTGCGAGTTCCTCCTCTTGGGCCTCTCTTGGGCCGCTCTCCGAGCCCTCGTGAGGGCCTTCTTTGACGCCTCGGGGAGCTCTTGGGTCGTCGTGGGGCTTTCTTGGGCCGTCCCGCGGATCTCTGCGGGTCTTCTTGGGCCATGCTGGGCTGGTCTGTGGGTGCCTCACGGACCGCCTGAGGCAGGCTTGCAGAAGCCAGGAAAGGCGAGAGCGTGAAAATTTCAAAGACCAGTCGGCAAAGCAAATGAATTTTGCCTCGTGGCGTCCTCTTGTTGGTTCTCTCCAGGACCTCTTGAGGGAGGCGTCGTGGGCCGTGCGGGGGCGATATGGGGTGCTCTTGAAGCCGTTCGGGTGTGCTGGTGCCCTTCGTAAGCCATCCTTGCAGACATCTGGGGCATCTTGCAGGCCACGGGTGATGGATTTCGAGGCTCCGAGGGCCCCTGGAGGTGGGCTGAGGAGTCCGAAGGGGATCCCCCCCCGACTGCTTGAACGATATTCTGGACATTGGAAAAGGGGGAACTGGGAAGGGGGGGACAACTAAATGTCCCACACCCGTTTTCGCATCTTCTTACCCATCGCAAGAAGGGGGTCGGCTGACAAACCGAAGTCGGAGTCGTGCAGGGAGCCTATGGGGGGGAAAGGGGGCGCGCTTGGCGTCGCCGTAGTCGTCATTGCCCAGAATTCCCAACTTGCGTAACGGGTAATTTCGCAGGCCTAGAGGTTGACATCAACACCAATATCGGCGGTGTGCCTCCACCGAGGAAAACAGATCCCGATCTCGGTGATGGTGGTAATATTCTGGCTTCCACGGCGACCGAAGTATGACCACCAGCATCGAAATCGAGGATCACCTTCCCCCTGTGGAGGTACCTCCCTGTGTTGGTGTTGGTGCCCATTTTCAGGCCTCCAGTAAATTTCATACTTGAAGGATGGAGAGCAGCTGATGGGCCTGTTTTCCACCACCACCACCATGAGTTGGAGGGGGGAAGGAGGAGGAGGAGGACGAAGAGGAGGAGGAGGACAAAGAGGAGAATGATGATGATGATGATGATGATGATGAGGAGGAGGAGGAGGAGGAGGAGGAGGAGGAGAGGAGGAGGATAGGAGGAGGAGGAGGAGGGAGGAGGTGGAGGAGGAGGAGGAGGCCCCCCTCCCCCATCCAACTTATGGTGGTGGTGGTGGTGGTGGAAAGCAGGCGTATCAGCAGCTCTGTTATGGTTTGTGGCGTCCGCAGAAAACTTCGCGCCCCCCGGAGTGCGAATCTGGCAGAGTGTTGGGCCACCGTGCGGCACTTTTCCTTGGGTTCTTCGCTCTCGTCGCGCTGCTCAGGGGAACGTCCTCCTCCTCCCTCCTCCTCCTCCTCCTCCTCCTCCCTCCTCCTCCCCACCTCTTCCTCCTCCTCCTCCTCCTCCTCCTCCTCCTCCCTCCTCCCTCCTCTTCCTCCTCCTTCTCCCTCCTCCCTCCTCCCTCCTTTCCTCCTCCTCCCTCTTCCTCCTCTCCTCCCTCTTCCTCCTCCCTCTTCCTCCTCCTCCTCCTCCTCCTCCTCCTGCTCCTCCTCCTCCTCCTCCTCCTCCTCCTCCTCCTTGTCGTCGCCTGAAGGTCAAACTCGTCGGACGCTCGTCTGTCAAACAGGGTGCTCCCCCGTGTGAGAAAACAGAAGTGCACATACGGACTGACGATGCGGGGACTTGGGACGGGAGGGTGTATTGCAGCATCGATGAAACTTACTCATCGGTCGTTGAAAATAGGTATTTCCGGATTTCCAAATTCCAATCTGCTTTAGGCGCCTTCCTACTTCAATGATCGAGTGGCTTCACCTTTTCCGTCCTCCGTAGGGGGCGGACGGAACCCAATCCACTTACAACGCCTTCCTATGTCATGTTTCTGCCTGATTATTCCGACCAATGGGTAAGCTGAACCAATCTCTGACGGAGTCGGAGCACCATATCCCCTACCCACGCAAACCGTTGTGTCAGTGTTCCCAGTGCGACGGAAGCACCGGCAAGAAGTTCGCGCTTGGTTTCCTCAGGGCTCTTTGCCCTGGGATCTCGGCTTTCGTCCCCCCTGCGTCCTTTCTCGGGAGTGGAATCCACCACGCTCACAAACTGCACAGGGGAGTGGACGGAGCTATTGCCTGTGGAGCTTGTG